CTTCCTTTTACCTTGTTTAGGACAGAGGAGCGACCGATGGGATTACGACCTCGCTGCTATTGAGATCGCAACCCCACAATGTCGCCTGAGGCTGGGCCTGAGGCTAGACGACGCCGAATCTGGCTACACGAGCTCAACCGATGGTGGCGACAGTGTCAACGCGAGGCCCCGGCCAGGTGACCACAAATGCTCAGGTGGGCATGCTAGCAATCAATGGTTGGGGTCCTCGGGCTTGTGCACAGTGTAGTAGGTGGTAACTGTGCGAGAGCAAATGGGGGAAGAAAAGAGGACATGAAGCACAAGGTCGACCAATATCTGGCCAATTCAATTTGTCAAAATGAAGGAACTTGATGATGATCACTATGAAAAAGGACAAGCAAAAGACAAATGACTCGGTGGAAAAAACTACTCAAAAAAGGGAGGAGGTGCTCCGCTTTTGAGCCATCTAAAGAAACAATTGATGCGTTTTTTCTTCATTGGCGTGCTCAATCGTTGACATTTATTTAAAAAAGAAAAAGAAAATCCATCTAAGCAGACTAATCAAAAAAAAAAATTATCCCAATTTTATCAATATGAAGGTCGGAAAACAACATCGATAGCTCCTTCCCACCGGCTTTGATAAGGCTGACGGTTTGTGCCTTTATATTATAATCAGCGTCGTACCATAATTGAATCTTATTGAATTTTCGTCCGATCCGAACACGACGTGCTTATTCCATATATCTTTGAAAATCAGGTACGGGGTGGATTGCACCACACAACACGTCGAACACGCTAATTAAGGTATGAAATCTTAGATAAATCTATAAAAAAAAAAATTTCTTAGACGTGTGTTAACGAGTCAATACGCGCCTCAATAGGTCAAATTGACACAAGTAACATGTCAAATTGTTTGACTAAACATGCTCGGGAGTTTCATTAACCCAATTGAAAGGGCCGACTCGGGAACGACGATTCGAGGCATCTAACTTGTCCGACCCATCTGTATACAAATACGAGTAACTACGTATTGTGTACCGCGTCGTATAAACGCGCTAATCTTTGCTAATATCCTTTCTTTATATACACTATGCTGTTTTTATTTATCTAATTACTATTTTTTATGGCAAGATTCTCCTTCATTATGGTTGGCTTCTTAATCTTGTCAGCGAGCAAAGGTGATATGATAAAATAGTCAAGTGATTTAATTTCGTACCAAAGATTGACGTCAACATTTTTATCTGCTTTTGCATATGAAAGATGTATCAAGAACTAGTGCAAGCTTTATTGATATCAGAATTTTGAAAAGTTGCAGATTAAACTATAATCGCTTGTTTACTATAATCGTTTGACGTCATCGTTAACACCGTCATGCCGGTAGCCTCGGAACTTAGAAAAATTACTTATTACCCCCCATTAACTTTGGTTTTTTACTATAATCGTTTGGTTTTTTTGATCTGGAAAACCGTTTAACGTTCCTTAAAAATAGAATTATTCATTTGTCTTGACCAAAATAACTTCTCGTAAAGTTTAATTCATTTCATCAACCATGTATCCTCTCGATGTCATTGACCATGTGGTATAGGTTATTTTGGTAAAAAAAATACGAATAAGTTCATTTTCAAATGACACTTTACGACTAGGTAAACATGTTAGTTGACTACTGCTGTAGAATTCAAAGTTTAGAGGAATTGAATTTAACTTTTCAAAGTTGGATGGCTATTTTGCAACGGTATCGAACGGTATCAAAGTTGAGAAAAGGGTTATCTGTAACTTTGAAAAATTTGGGGTTAGTTGTGCAACGGCGCTAAAGCTTTAGAGTGGGCAGGAGGGCTTGAGCACTTCTCTCTCTTCCATTACATGAGTAAAAGCGCGAGGAAAGGCGACCAACGCCATCGATTCCTCCCCAACGATATACGGAATGTTCAAATTGAGTCATATTTATTCGGCCTCAACCGCGATTCGAAGGTCAGAGGCTGGCTGGCCCATCATCGCAGCCCACCAAGATGCTAGCAGACAGAAAGCCTTTCCACACAAAACGTATGGCGACTAGACGACGATGCAGCACAAGCCGTTCACATGAATCGAATTCATGATCTCGTGGAAGACAAAGAAAGCAAACCATGCCCTTATGTCGCGATTGTGAATCGACTTGAGGGAGATGTCGGGTTTGAATTTGGGTGCTCTTGGGTATTTTGTCAAGGAAGAGGGTCAAGAAGAGAAGCCTAATAAGATAGGAAACGAAAGAGACCAGAAACGGTGCATGGATGAGAACATGTTCAAGTGTTTGGTTTCTAGAAGGAAGAAGACCTTGGAGAGCAATGAGGATAGATGAAGAATTTTCAGCAGTTTGACCAGGCACGACTAGCAGAAGATGTGCAAGAGGAGGCTTTCTTGATAGTCTAACTTGGACTTTCTTAGCGTATGATCAAATAATAAAAAGAATGAGATATATCACAACAAAATCTAGAAGATCATCCTATAGGATTAGGACCTATTTTGAATACCACTATGTATAAAGTGGTTAGGAAAGCTATGGCTACGTTGAGGCATGTATACATAGATGCGTACACACATAAATGGTTAGTGTTTCGTGCAAATATAGAAGGAACGCGATCATATTCACGCCACCAAGACCTTCTGCCATCGACCATTATTGGCAATGTCGTGTTGCTTATTGACATCATTGATGCGGTGAAAATATTTCGGCGGCACCAATCTGGGCACCGACAAAGAGCTGCAATCGGTAAAGCATCCGACGCAAATCGAGTATTCGATTGGATACTGAAACCTAGCCCGAAAGTCCATAATCTAATCGAATTTCGGTTCTTCGATCCGAACCGGCTTTCTGTTGAGATGCAAGTGTAAGTTGTGTTACAAAAGTTTCACATCAGAAAATTTGATATGGTGTGTAGTAGTTAATACATCTTAATTGGCCCACAACTCATAGACCTGAACTTTTGAGTAAATGTGGATCTAGCTAAATATGTTGACGGGCTAAGACTTTGGCTTCCTCTTGGCGATCTCCCTCGAGGAAGGTATCGGGTTTCTGCTGCACGCTCCCAACAATTATATCAGAGCACAAAGCAGATTGGTGGCCCTCACGATCTGTTCCGGTGTTTGGAGATTAAGGATGAAAGTTGACGTTAGAGATTCAAGTCGAGATAAATTGATGCATCGGAGAATTGGCGCGGTGGGCGGCTCCAACTCGATATGTTGATGGGCACGGACTTAGATTTCCTCCTGGCGATCTCCCCTAGTGAAGGTGTCGGGTTTCTTTATCGGCTCTGCAATAGGACTTTCTCTTTCGCCTAGGCACTCAGGCTCACCTCCGACCAAAATAAGAAGGTAAAAAAAAAAAATTAGAGAATAAGATGGAAAACGCACGTTGAAAAGAGAAATTAGAAAAGAAAGGGAGGTAAAATCGCCGACCTCATGTCCAAATTTCCACTACACCTAACGGATTGTCACAAGTCAAAACACGCCCCGTCGCATTCACATTTTGCCAATGGCCCCCCTCCTCCTCCTCCTCCGACCTTTTGGACGAGGACGAGTCAAACAAAGTGACCTCTCACGAATGACGCTGACCCGCTAGTCGCTACATTTCTTCCATTAACAAGCTCGAAAGCAATTTTGTATGGACTCGTTCCAACGAAAATTACTTTGGTCGGATGAGCCGACAACATCACCATATGGGGAATTACATCTCGATTTGATCCTTCTTTACGTCCGTAATCTGATCGGAACCCGATCGGCTATTTTAAGCGAATGACGACGTGGCACGTTTGCCACGCCGTGTGCTTGCCCGGAAAAATCGGGCGGGTTCCGAATTGATGGCCGTTTGATTTTGCGAGTGATCGGGAGTTTAGTGCGGTTTGAATCGAAATTCAGTGACTTCATTGTATAATCTATCGAGGGACGGTGTTTGTCGGGTGTGGCTTCTCGAAGAACCGTTTTTCCGGGTTCTAACGCAATCCATGGAAGCTAGGGCAGATCGATTCTACACAGGAAGTTAGGAACCATATCGGGCTATCCTGAAAGCTGGTCCAGTTTCTAGTTTTAAATTTTCAGAATAGGGAGAACCGGCTCGGTTCCTGATTCCAAGTGAAGAACCAACCAAGAATCAGACCAATCGGTCCGAATTTTGAACCGGTTTCATAAAGTCTAAAAACCTGATTTTTCAATTGGCATCTTTTTACTCTATCTCTTTTTCTCTATTTTCTCTAACCTCACTCTAACACTTCACAACTTTCTCTCTCTATCTCTCTCTCGACTCACCCTCCTTTTCGCTCGCCCTCGCTCATTCGAGCCTAACAACCTTCGCTCGCTCGCTCACCTTCATTTACCTTTGGATCGTTTCATCGCTCATATTATTTTCCTGTAAAAAAACGGAACCAATAAAAGGAACAAAACAAAAACAGGGTTCTCGGTAGACCCTGAACAGGACTGGAAAACGCACGATAGGTTTCAGGGCAAACGAGGTAGGTTCCGGTCTGGAACTTACCCATCCTGGACCGGAATCTTGGACTCGGGAACCAATCGCCCCTGATGAAATGGAATAGCATACTCCTACGTGCGTCGCCTTTTCTCACCGCGCCACGTGGCGACCCGAGAGGAGGCCCCCAGTGGACAAGTCCAGCTCCAGGCGGCTCCTTCCACCACCACCACCACCACCACCGTCGCTCATTTATTGCCCAGCCGCTCTCAATCAAACTCTCTCTCTCTCTCTCTCTCTCTCTCTCTCGGCGACTTCCATTCTCCTCGGGCGATTTGCCGATCCTCTCCGCCGATTCATCGGGCGCTTCGGATTCCGCTCCCGCCTCTCGCGCTCTCCTCCGCCCGCGATCCCCGGCGATCCTTCCGCCGTCTTTACGCGACCGGAGCCGGACGAGGGGAAGGGAAGGTTGATGGCGGGGCGCCGGTCGGGTTCTGCTGCGGCGGCGGGGGGCGGCAGCTGAATCGAGCTCGTTCGCGGCGGTGGTGGTGGCCGGCCGGCCGGCCGGCGGGCGTTCGCGGCGGCGGCGGCGGCGGCGGCGAGGGGGTGGTTCTTGGGTGGGGGAGTGCGCCGGGTTGCTTTTGAGTAAGTCGACATGATGGGCGGGAGCTTGTTCCATCACCGGAAGCATTCGTGGCCGACGGAAGAGTACATCAACAGATCGACTCTGCAGCAGGCGAGTGTCTTGTTTCTTTTTTCTTTTTTTCCTATTAATAGAACCCCGTGTGTTTTGGTTTTTTGTTTGCTAAGCTGTCTTGCTGATTCTCTTGTTCGGGGAAATTAAGCATTCTGTTCCTGCGACGATTCGAGTGAAGTGGCGGGGGATCGAGAGCCGTAGCTTGACAGCTTTTTTTACGCTTTGTGTCGTCGTCACCTGTTTAATCTATGGGGTGATGGGTATGGTTCAACATTTTGCTTCCGATGAAGTGCGTGATGAGCAAATTATGGATCTTGTTGCAGAGTGCCCGTCCGTTATGCATAATCCAAAGCTTCTTTGAATTTTCCTTCTTCTTTTTTTTTTTCTTTTGGGTATTGTTTGTTTGCTAAGGACTCGGGGGTGCTCAATCTTAGAGGCTTGCCTTTTGCTGATCAATTTGATGGTGTTCTGCAGTTTGACTTCGATAGCGCTGCTCCTCCGGAGCAAGCATGGAGAAGAAGATTAGACAGTCATGCGAATATTCTCAAAGAATTCAGCGTTACCTTTAGGGAGGCTGTACAGATGGTATATTTTCTGCCATCTTTCTTACATTTGTTTCTTGTGTCGATTTTGTCCATGATGCTGCTGTGCATCTCCGCATGCGCTTTTCGAACCTTTCTTATTCTTGGATTCTATAGCTGGCCTTTTCCATCTTTCATGATTTTTTGATCTCCAAAATTGTAGGTTCGGCTGGGCATACGCCTTTGGTCTTACGTTAGAGAAGAGGCATCCCATGGAAGGGTACTTTCCCTTTTAGTTAAAGCAATTTTCTTTTTCAGTTTATTCTATGAGATTCTATCAATTCTATGTAGTAAGTTGTGATATTACAATTTAATTGTCGATATTCTATACACCATGTGCAGAAAGCACCTATTGATCCTTTCACTCGAGGGAGTTGCAAGCCATCTGCATCTCAAGGGGTTCCTCTAGGAGGGATGGGGTATGTCCTTGGTAAAGCATGATCTTTTGTCCCTTCATAGAACTTCTCAATCTTTTCGTCTCATTGGGTTTATTTTGCAGAAGTGGTAGCATATCTAGAGGGTTTAGAGGCGAGTTCAGGCAGTGGCAAATAATTCCTGGTACACGTGAAGCTTCACCTGTCATGGCTAATCAGTTCTCTGTAAAGCTCTGCTCTTCATATAGTATAGAAACGTATTGTATTCTTTTCAATTTACGTATGATGATGTGAGTGATTTTCAAGGGTGAGTTTACAGCTCATGTTATAATGCGATTTAGATAATCCAAAGATTTCAGATGTTCAAAATATGAAGTCTTCCCTTTTGATGTTTAAACTTCTGTTGGATAATTTGGTTATTGGGGTTCTACAGATTTTCATATCTCGGGATGGGGGAAATAAAAGTTATGCATCAGTCTTGGCTCCGGGCCAGCATGAAGGGCTAGGGTGAGATAAAAAAACTTTTGCATTTGAATATTTGCTGATGATCTTACTGCTTGTCCTGTGGTGAAGTATTCACAGGGTCTTCATGTTGTTAATGTGAAATACTGCCCACCAATTATAACTGTTTTATCACATTTAGAGTTGTTAGAATAATTAAATATTAAACAATGCCTTCATTTAACAGCTTAATCTTTTAAAACAGTTGGCACTGGTCCCACCAAAATCTAACATGGTATCAGAGCAGGAGGTCCTGAGTTCAAATCTTTCCAAGTCCCATTTGCCTCCCCAATTTAATATGTCCACGCTTAGTATTAGGCAAAAAAACCAGACTAAGCGTGAGGGGGAGTGTTAGAATAATTAAATATTAAACCATGCCTTCGTCTAACGGCTTAAGTTTTTAGAACAGTTGGCAGTGGTCCCACAAAATCTCACAAGAGTGTTGGTTGTGAAGGCGTGGACCAAAGGAAATAAAAAAAAAAAAAAGAGAAAAAGAATGGGATACTCTCCTGACAAGTTAGCACTCCCTATATTTCCAAGAAAAAAATTATGGATTGTATGTGAAGCTTTCTGGCACTCCTCGTATAATTGCTAATCAAATTCTTTGGAAAGTTAAACTAGCTTGGGTAGGACATTGATGTTTCATGATTGGAGGATGGATTCTAAAATTGGCTTCGGTTTCTTTGACTATGTTATCATATATCTACTTCCAAAGGATTGCTGGTTTTCTTGGAGTCTAATATTCTGCTGTTAAATTTATGAACCGAGGAGACTGGTTTCTTGTCTAGTTAATGCAAATTGATGAAGTGTTTTCCTGGTTATATGAAGGTATAACAACATATACAAGCGGTAGATTGGATAGAGAATCATTAATAGTTGTTGGAGGGTTGTGTGTTATTCTGGGCCCTATGAGTAGCATTGTTGATCTTGCAGGAAAAACAACGATGAGGGTATATCATCATGGGGTTGGAATTTGAGCGGTCAGCGTTCAACATACCATGCTCTATTTCCTAGAGCATGGACAGTTTATGATGGTACGTTGTTTTTGTCACTTGATTTTGGAATATTCAGCTAATGATTTTTCATCTTTCTCCAAAGCTGCATTTCTTTCTCTAGTCATACTGAAATACTTATTTATCAGGTGAGCCAGACCCAGATTTGAAGGTGTCTTGCCGGCAGATATCACCATTTGTACCTCATAATTATAGAGATAGCAGTCTTCCTACTGCAGTATTTGTTTACACGGTACAGTTTTTTTTTTTTTTCGAACTTGATTACATGAACTTCGTTTTTCCAGCAGCACCAAAAGTCCTTTCGTGTATTTTCACACTCCTAGCCTTCTACTGTGATAAAGGAAAGCCAACAAAGCCAGCCTTAACAACTAACTCTAAACACAATTTATTTTAAATGATGGTTAACCCATATAAAATCAGAAATACAAGTCCCAGGTGACTTTGACATTTCAAAATCAGCTAACATCATTCTCCGACTTCAATTGAAACTTGCAATTCTGCTAACAGATGATTTTTTGCTTTCGGGTGTCACAAACATAGAGCAAATTCCATATTGCGGCCAGGATTCTATTTACTAATCCTAGCTTGGTGGGCAGTCTATCTAGCATAATCGACCAAGCTAAAATTAGTGTTTTGGAATAGGTGTAAACCATATAAGTTTTCACCAATCAACCTTATGGTTTTTTATTTGTCAATCATTCCTAGTAATAGGAACAGAGAAAGCTCTCTTCTGGCTGGACGTGGGGGGACTCTTATCTGCTCTTGAATCTATCAAAGAAGCTGCAAATTTCACAATGGAATTGACAACTTTTATGGATTCTATCATGGACATTCTTCAGCTTTTATTACGTGTAGGAGATCCTCTATGGCTAGTTAAAATAAAGTTCGGTGGAAGATCAATTTTATTAGTTACTGGTAGAATGAGCTCATAAAGTGGTAGGAACTGAGGGGACAATGCACATTTGATTCGAGATAGATTGTTGGGTGGTTCAATATTTACTTGTCTGCCTTATTGCTGATCCTGCCATCTCTGAAATCCCTTATCTAGAGTAGGATATGTGTCGGCCAAATAATTTATAGGTCCGCTGCTGTTATATGTTTGCTCATTGTGGCTATTATTCTTGTTTAGTTGGTCAACACTGGGAAGGAAAGGGCAAAAGTCAGCCTTCTCTTTACATGGGCGGTAAGCTTTCTTTTCTGTTGGAGAAATTCACAGAGCCTTTTTCTGTTTGAGTTAGGATGCATCTTTTCTTCTGCAGAACTCAATTGGAGGGGTCTCACACATGTCAGGAGATCATGTAAATGAACCCTTTATGTGAGTATCTAGTTCTATGCACTTAGTTTTTTATTCTGCAACATGTGCTGATATGTACTCTTTGGGCTCGTCTTTTTTTTTTTTGCTAGTGGAGAAGATGGAGTTTCTGGTGTCCTTCTGCATCACAGGCAAGTCATTAAAACCATGTCAGAGATGGAGATTGGGAGTTATTACCATATTCTGCATTATCATTGGCTTTGTCTTTCGTCTTTCCTACTTTTAAAAGACAACCAAATGTTTCTGAGGCTCGAGCACTTGCTGCAGGACTGCAAAAGGGGGCCCACCTGTGACTTTTTCGATAGCTGCCTGTGAAACTCAAAATGTGAGTGTAACTGTTTTGCCCTGCTTTGGGCTTTCTCAAGAAAGCTCTATAACTGCAAAGGACATGTGGGATACTATGGCTCGAGTAAGTGTTCTTATTTGTACTGGGAGCTATATTTTTGGGCTGGATGTACATTTTCTCTTTTTGCAGCCATTATTCAAAATTTGCAACTTTCATTTTCTCTTTGGCCAAAGATTGACTTCATTTTTGATAGAGAATTTTAAGAGGATTGGTTTCTCCAGTTGTGTGAAGCAGTGTCAAAATCTCCTCACACTAGGTATTGTCTTTTCATTTGGTTGTGCCTCAAGGATGGTCAATTCGATAGGGAGAACTTCAATTCTGGGTTAAGCACGCCTTCATCACCAGGAGAAACGATTTGTGCTGCAGTGTCAGCTACTGCATGGGTGGAACCCCATGGGAAGTGCACTGTTGTGTTCGGTCTTGCGTGGTCTTCTCCAAAAGTAAAATTCCTTAAGGGAAGCTCCTATAATAGGTCTCTCTCTCTCTCTCTCCCTCTCTCTCTCTCTCTCTCTCTCTCTCTGTGGAGTACAAGCGTCTAGGTTGGATGTTTTACTACTCTTGTTAGTTTGTTGGATTCCCTTAATGGACATGCTCTACAATTTTACAGGAGGTACACTAAATTTTATGGGACATCAGAAACAGCTGCTGTGGACTTGGTTCATGATGCATTAACAAGTAATCTCCTATTCACTTGCTTTTCTTCAATTCTTTTCCCTTATTTTCTTGGTTTGTCAAATCACTTGTCTAGTTTTTGCACTACTTTTTAGGTTCGGTTCATGACTTGGTAAAAATTTCTCTTTTGCAGTTTGTATTTTGGAACTTGTAAAGAGGATTCCTAATTCTTATATGTGTTTGATCTATGACACTGTGCATAGAGACCTTTAGTACTAGATTTCAAGTTAAGGTCTTTCATCTTTTAGTTCATCCTAACATTTTAATTTTGCTTTGTCAGATTATAAACGATGGGAAGAAGAGATTGAAAAATGGCAAGCTCCTATTCTTAAGGACGATAAGCTTCCAGAATGGTAATTCACTGCTTTGTGTATATATAGGTGTCAATTGTCAAGCATCTTGCCTGGGCATTGCGCCATGTTAGTGGGATGAGAATCTCGCTTATCATGCATTGTGTTCCTTGAGATTGCTCGTGCAAGCAAATTACAAGCACTTCACTCAGGCTGTCAGTTGGACCTGACAGAATGATAGATTCAGTATAAACAAACGCTTAATTCTCATCAAGACTTTTATGATAGGAATCTATAGGTAGTTGAAGTTAACGAACCGTTGCTTATAAAGGATATCATCAATTAAATTTTGGACATCACTGAACCGAAGACCATATGCATTCTTTATAGAAGCTGGATTATTTGGTGATGACTCCACTGAGGCTGCAATGGGGATAGGGCTGGAGCACAGCATGACTCACCTGTTAGAGAATGACTCTAGAAATGATTATATCTGGTCACAAGCATTCTGGTTTTTGTCAGCCCTGTATCCAAACATCTTTTTGTTCTTTGCAGGTACAAGTTTACTCTATTCAATGAGCTTTACTTCTTGGTCGCTGGTGGAACGGTCTGGATTGGTATTCTACTCTTCTTAAATGGAAACGCTCCTCATCTCCATCTCCGTACTCCCTCCCTTCCCCTCAAAAAGAAGAAGAAAAAACATGCATGCATGCGCCTCCACACACACACACACAGAGAATTAACTTGCTGACACAAATAGATGCATTCAGAACACTCATTGGCAGGAATAAAGGAAAATAAGATAATACAAAGAGATGAAAACAAGTAAATCAGACTCGTGATGTCACATTGTCTTGAAGGTTCTTATCCTCTTTTTGAGTTTTGAACAAATGGAAGGAAGCATTCGATCCTTTTTGGGAATGTTTTAATCCATTCTATTGCATATGAATAACATAAGTAAAAACTGTCTCTTATAATTTCACTTTGGCCTGAACAATGATATGGTTCCTTTGCAACTATTGTAGACTCCTCATTGCCAAGTGAAGGCATGACAGTTGATCATCGTCCAGCAAGGAAAATGGAAAAAGGAGATAAAGCAGTAGTTGAAGCCAAATTGAACTGTGGAGAAAGGGGAGTAGAGCATACTTTCAGCGTTGAAAGTGAAACAAAAACTTTCCCTCAATTATCAGGGGAAGATATGTCAATGATCCCATGGAAGGTGGATGAGTCTCGGAATTCTTCCCAGTTGTCAACAGTGCATGATGTGCACACTGAAATGGATGATGTTGGTAGGTTCTTGTACTTGGAAGGGGTCGAATACGTTATGTGGTGTACATATGATGTGCACTTTTATGCATCTTTTGCCCTTCTTGAGCTGTTTCCCAAAATTGAACTTAGCATTCAACGTGATTTTGCTAAAGCAGTCTTATGTGAGGATGGAAGAAAAGTGAAATTTCTTGCCGAGGGGAAGTCGGGAATTCGTAAGGTTAGAGGTGCAATTCCTCATGATCTTGGAACACATGATCCATGGCACGAAATGAATGCCTATAACATTCATGACACAAGCAAGTGGAAGGATCTGAACCCAAAATTCGTGCTTCAAGTTTATAGGGATTTCTCAGCAACAGGAGACATGTCCTTTGGAGTAGATGTATGGCCATCTGTTCGTGCTGCTATGGAATACATGAAACAGTTTGATCGGGACGATGATGGTCTTATTGAAAATGATGGATTTCCAGATCAAACATATGATGCCTGGACGGTTCATGGTGTTAGTGCTTACTGTGGTGGCTTGTGGCTTGCTGCACTTCAAGCTGCAGGTGCCATGGCCCTTCAGCTGGGAGACAGGGAGTTCGCCGATTGGTGCAAAAGCACTTTTTTGAGGGCTAAACCTGTATTCGAAGAAAAGCTGTGGAATGGTTCGTATTTTAACTATGACAGTGGGTCAAGTAGTAATAGTAAATCTATACAAGCGGATCAGCTTGCGGGGCAATGGTACACTGCCTCGTCTGGATTGCCTCCGCTTTTTGATGAATGTAAAATAAGAAGCTCTCTACAGAAGGTATATGATTTTAATGTCATGAAAGTGAAGGGTGGAATGATGGGTGCAGTGAATGGAATGCATCCCAACGGAAAAGTGGACGATACATGCATGCAATCACGAGAAGTATGGACCGGTGTGACTTATGCTGTGGCAGCTACCATGATCTTCTCTGGAATGAAAGACGAAGCATTTGCCACTGCTGAAGGAATTTTCACTGCTGGCTGGTCTGAAGAGGGATATGGGTAATTCCTTGCACTCGCATTTCGAATTTAGTAGTCATATCACTTCAGAGGTTTACTTTGTGTTTGAGTCCAGTTTATATGTTTGTCAAGTTAATTGCTTGGTTTCTTGCCTTTAATTGAAGAGGTTGGTGGAGTTTCATTGTCATATGATACATGTTATAAAAATGGATTTGCGAATGTGTTTTGTTCTCCATGATGTGATGATACCTTGTGTGTAGATATTATTTAGGACTGTTATTATTCAGATTATGCCCTTAGAGCAAACGGACCTCAATCAAACCTCTTCATTAGTGGAGGGAGAAAGATAGCTTGGAATATTTTGTTTATGATTATTTTCTTAATATCCTCATGGAGAGATGTTAAAAGGCACGTTTCACCGATAAAAAAAACAAAAGAAGGAAATTGCGTCTATATGATTTCTTTATAAATAGCTAGTCAATGTTTCTAGTTTTTTAAATAAACTTCTGAATCTGATTATACATCAATGACACTACCAGATTTTTCAGTCTTTTTCTGCAAGGAATGCACCGGAAACTTAATTTTTAGTTAACAAGGTAGGGTCTGGAAAGGGAAATTCAATTTTTGTCAGGTCTACTTCGACCTCATAATCTCTGTTGTGAATAGATTTAGGTCATCCTAACATGGAGTATGTATCATTGTTTGAACTTTGACTAGGGACAGCTCTTCTTGATTCTCAGGATGAAAAATTATATGCTTTATATATGCGCCCGTCATTCTTCTTGTTACTCTACTACGTGGCAAATGCTCTTTCTGATGTAATGTATAGTAATTCGGTAAATTCTCTGTGAACAGGTACTGGTTCCAGACTCCGGAGGGTTGGACAATGGACGGTCACTTCCGATCACTAATGTATATGAGGCCGCTTTCTATCTGGGGCATGCAATGGGCTTTGAACCCACGCAAGGTCATTCTCGAGGCTCCTACAATAAATACGATGGACAGGATGTACATTCCTCCTGCTCCTTTTAGGTCCTGCCAGCACGAGACGAGCGCCAGGAGCGTCGCGAAAAAGGCAAGGTGCTTCGGGAATTCCGTTTTCCACTGTTCATGTGAATGATGATCTACTGCGAGTTTATCCGCAAAGGAAAAGAGCATGTATTGTGTGCTTGCTTCCTCTGACTCTCTTCAAGTGGAAAAGAATGCTGGAGGTGGGTCTCGGGCGGTCTTCCCCTAGGAACTAATAGTGTAAATTAAGCATGACGTATGGTACGGATTTCGTTCCATGCCCCCAATGGGAGATTGATGACAAATTGGGTTCGTTCTTTTTCTTGATTGCCAGGATCGGTAATTGAGAACTGAAGACAATAAGAGTGAGATTCTCAAATGTAACCTTTTACTGAATTTTGAGTTTGCCAGGATGGAGGAATGATAAAATCTCTGGCTAACACTGTACTGCATTCATTCCTTTCTCTTTCTTAATCCTTGTTTCGGTTACGGCGCTCATTCCATCAAAGTACAGGAAGGGCGTGCTTGTATGCCTTCACATGTAGTTGACTCCCTTGTCCTAAAGCACCCGTTTGGTTCAGCTTTCCTAATGGGCTTTAAGCCCCTAAAGCCTCTTGGAAAAAGTATAAGGTATTTGACAAGCATTTTTGGGACTCCATTGGCCAAATACTAACATTGGGAATGCCAAAAGCCAAAGCAGGTCCTAGAATGCTATAGTAGCGGTTTAATGATTTTTTTTTTATTTCCAATATTGTCCTCACTAATAATTATGTATTCCACTTTTGCCCTAAAAAATTAGTGTTCATCTTCTTCCTCAAGCTTGCTGTCGCGCATGCCATTGAGCTGCTGTCTTCACCGGAGGCACTATCTTTGCCAGAGCTGCTGTCGGTCGAGGACAAGATTGAGGGTCGAGCGACCCAGATCTGGTCAACGCGAGGGCGATCCAAATTTGGCCGATCACGATCATGTAACCTCGCGTCGCCTGAGGTCGCGTGACTACCCAGGCGTCATTGGCCTGGGTCGCTCGACCTCAGGTGATGGCCGCCGGTGCTAGATCTGGCTCGCCGGCGGTCACTTGACCTCGGGCACCGGTGGCCGTAGCCCTTTGCCGGCTCCAACGAAGGGTCACCCTTTTTTTTAATAAAAAAGAAAATCCCAAAGCCCTTTGCAAAAAAAAGTAGCCAAATACTATTTGGACCAAAGTAGTTTCACAAAGAATTTTTTACCAAATACTATTTGCATTTTCCCAAGAGGCTTTAACCTAAAGGTATTTGCATTCCCCCAATGCTCATTTACAAAGTTGAAGCAAACGGGCCCTAAGTACTAGCTTTTGATCAGCTCGTTACATAACATGTTCGATTACGTGACAGGTGTGGAGTCGATATCAGAACACTGACGGTGATGCTATGAATGATGGATCAGCATTGTGAAGGTACCAAACATGTCGAGTGATGGTCGAGTCCCTCTTGGATTTTTTTTTCTTTCTTTCTAAGTTGCATCGAAAGTGCTAAAACTCGCTGGAAAAGCGCAATCAAGCCCACGAGTGGACTCCTGAGTTGCTTGAATTGAGCACTGATGTCCCAGTCGGTGATTATCAAAGCACCAAAAGGTGAAGCTGCAATCATAAAGCTCATTGACATTCTTAAATGGATAGAGATAAACTTGTAAAGAGTAATGGATAAGTGCACTAAAAGTCTTAAAACTTATCACCAAAATGTAATTGAGTTCTTAAACTTTCAAAAAGTCCTAAAATTTATTATAAAAATACAACTGAGTTCTAAAACTTTCAAAAGTATAGTCAAGTCCTTCCATTAATTCCGTCTAACTTGACAAACGGAAAGTGCTAACATGTTTAAAGATTTAATTGTACAAACGTAATAAATTTTTGGATTTAATTGCACTTTTTTAAAATTTTAGAACTCAATTACACTTTTATGATAAATTTTAAAACTTAATTGTATTTTTTGAAAGTTTTAATATTCAATTGCATTTTTGTGACAAATTTTAGAACTTTTAATTCACTTATTTAAAAAGGTAATGTCGAGGGATAGTACAAGTTTTAGTAATGATGACATGCAATTATCATTAAGTTGAAGTTAATGAGTGTGTCAAGTTAAAGGGTATATCATTATATGTTCCAAACAGATAGACGTGTACAGAATTATGTCATGAATCTCTTGGCTATTGTAGATCTCATAAAATACCACCCCTTGAGTCTAATGATAAAAATAATCTTATTTTTACTAGTTCGTATCTTCAGAAAAGTTAGAAAGGGTTGATGACGAAGTTTCAAACTTTCGATTCTATATGCCTTGAAACCAAAGCAATATTTTGGGTTTTTGTTTGAGCTGTACGAGATAAAATTCTCAGATACGGTTCTCCGAGGGGGAGTACTATTGGTTTACCTATCTCAATAAAGTCTATGCTTGGTTTGAAGAATGTCTCAAGATTCAGGCGATTGACGAATTAATTTCTTTTTGTACATGACCACTAAATCAAATTCAGTCATATTTCTCGATTTTAAACTCCCCAAGTTCATATTTGTATATCTTATTTATGGCTAGATAAATAAAAATCTCATCTAATATTTATGGGTTAATATCGCTAAAAACTCTAAACTGGTACATCTGTGACAATTTTACCCCAAACTAATTTTTTGACCACGAAAAACTCCAAACTGGTATATCTGTGATAAATTTACCCCAAACTAATCTTTTAACCACCAAAAATCCCGAACTGGTACATTTGTAATAAATTTACCTTTCGTTAGTTTCCATTAAATTGAATTAATACAAAAAAAATCATAAATTGTCACGCCTGTGACAAACGGAGGGTAAAACATAAAATTGGTACATCCGTCAATTGCCGCATGTCATTTAACAAAGCAAATTGACAGTAAAATTTAACGGAAATAAATTAAGGATAAATTTGTCACAGGTGTACCAGTTTGGGAATTTTGATGGTCGAAAAATTAGTTTGGAGTAAATTTATCACAAGCGTACCAGTTTGGGGTTTTTCGCAGTATTAACCCAATATTATTCTGATGTTGTAAATTTGTTTTATGCGCAACATAACTATGAACAAAAAACATTTTTTCATAAAATTCAAGTATACTAAAATATTATTAGTTATAAATGGAAAGTGAATAACAATAATAATGAAATAGACACTGAAAATGAAAATGGCTCTCGCCTGTTTTTGTTTGACAAACCCATTCACCATTGATTGACAAATAAAAAATGACACAAATAATTATCGTCTTTGGACTTTTAACTTGTCAATGTGATTAATGTATTTTGACTCAATGCGTAATATTGTCCTTGACCTTTTAATTTATTAAGCGTGGTCCCCTAATTTTTTTTATAAATATTTAATTTAATCTCTAAATTACGTGAAAATTACGCAAACGAAAGGATTATATTTAATATTTACCAATAGTTTAGGGACATTGAACATTTATCAATAATTTATGGACTATATTTAATAAATTAAAAGTTTAGAGATAATATTGCACATTAGGCAAAAGTTCAGGGATTACGTTGCACTAAATTAAGAGTTGCACTAAATTAAGAGTCCAGGGCGATACCGCGTATTAGATCAAAGTTCGGGGACTACCGTGTTAATATCCAAAAAAAAATAAAAAGGAGAAAAAAGAACTCTTCTTTCAATCATCTCTCTCCTCAGGGTTTAGGGTTTAGCAGCAATCAGCAGAAACTCCAAAGATCGATTTGCTCTGCGGAGCAAAAGGAAGGAGAAAGCAAATGGAGATTGATCTCGGGAACCTCGCGTTCGACGTCGATTTCCATCCCTCGGAGCAGCTCGTCGCCTCCGGCCTCATCACCGGCGACCTCCTCCTGTAACACCTCCTCCTCCTCCTCCTCCTCCTCCGACCTCGAGCGGCTCCCGCTTGCGATCTCAGCTCCACCTCTCGAGCTCGTTGAACTATCGTCGTTTCTGACTCGTTTCCGATGTTGCAGGTACCGCTACGGCGACGGTTCCTCGCCGGAAAGGTAAAGGCGTGCTCTTTCGGCGCGATTTCTCCGGGGAATTTTTTGCGATTCATGCTGGGTTTTCTATGGTGAATTGAATTCGTGACGAGAGAGGGGTTTTCGGATGTTGTGCGGTTAGGTTACTGGAAGTACGAGCGCACAGGGAGTCGTGCCGGGCTGTTCGGTTTATCAACGATGGGAAAGGTGGACGCTTTGCTTGAATTTCATTCTCTTTCGTCGATGAATTCGTTTTTCACTTTAATGATTCGATCCAGCTAAAGAAGTCTTTTTTTTTTATTATTACTAAGAAAGAGCATAGCTGCTGTTCTGAATTTTAAGTCTTACCGTTTGCATTGTGTGCGATGTGGCGTACGGTCAGCGATCCTGACGGGTTCTCCGGATTGCTCGATTCTCGCGACGGATGTGGAGACGGGATCCGTTGTTGCTCGAGTTGAAAATGCTCACGAGTGAGTTTGTATTAGTGCTTCCTTCTGTCCTTGTCCATCCATCTCCATGGTAGGTGATACTGAAACTTTTGACTTTGGAGACCAGGGCTGCTGTCAATAGGTTGGTCAATTTGACGGAGTCTACTATTGCCACGGGAGATGATAATGGGTGCATTAAGGTGCTTACGCTCTGATCGTCCCTTCAATATTCTCTTCAATTCAAATTTCATTTACAGTTTTGCCAGAGCAATGCTGGATGGTCCTGATTGTTGGGCTTCATGTAGAGTGCCGTAGTTTGACTGAAGTCGCCATTGTCGTTCTAAGTTTCAGAATCAAGGAAAGCTTTTCTCTTCCACAAATACATTATTGCGATTGCTAAGCATCCTTCTCCATCATTTTTCTGTTGATTTACTTTTGTTCCAGCCTCTTGTGGAAAAGTACCTTTAAGAAACAATGATGAGAATACATAATAAAGAGAATAGCTACCACGTTGCTGTGCGTCCTACTTCGCAATGGGCATATATGTAGCTATCCCGTCCTAGAAGGGCATGCTTCAAATTTATAGTGTCTAGCGTTAGCTTTAGCTTATTATTACCAACATTTCGATGGATCACTTGGTTGTAGGTTTGGGACACAAGACAATGTTCTTGCTGCAACACATTTAGTGCCCATGAAGATTTCATATCAGACATGACATTTGCATCTGATTCCATGAAACTTGTCGTCACAAGGTGGTTCCTTCAAAACAATGTATTTAGCAATTGCTGGGATTTTTTCATTGCTTGTCTACATAAATATTGCTTGGAGATGGACTTTGTCTGTCTTTAAAGATAGACCGTCTGTCCTAGTCACACATGTGCCAGCAGTTCCTTCAGCATAATGACATTATCTTTTGTTTTTCAATAGTGGAGATGGGACTCTATCTGTTTGCAATCTTCGAAGTAATAAAGTAAGCTTCTCACTTTCCTAAAAGTTTTGTAAAAGAGCATTATTTTAGTGCTGCTTCTTTTGCTTCCCATTGGCTTGCATTCTGTAATATGCTGATCCATTCTATTTGAACAACAGGTCCAAACTCGGTCTGAGTTCTCTGAAGATGAGTTACTATCTGTCGTTATTATGAAGGTAGATGTCAACACTTGACTCCTATGTACTTGAAGCAGTATATACTGATTCTTGTGACATTACCCAAAAAATGGAATTTGATTTCTTTCACTTCCATTCCCATCTTTCAGCACATATCACTCTGGGTTTTTGCTCCCATACTCCCGCTTAATCTGTTATACCATTTATAAAGTGAACCTGTTTTACGTTAGCGGTGGGGTGTTTTGTGTGTGAACCTGTTTTTAGCCATTTTCTTTATTAGAAATGTGCTATCTGAGCCATTATTCTTGCTTGGAAACTTATACTGTAAAATATTATCTACTTGACTGCACGGCCAGTATCACTGCACGCATGCCTGGATATTTTTCCGTCCCATATGCAATGTATCGGATAGGCAGGTAATTACATAATAGAAATGACCCTCAATACAATATTTTGCACTGTTGTCAACCGAGCTGATCCTAATTTGGTTTGCCAGAATGGCAGGAAAGTCGTTTGTGGAACACAAAGTGGAACATTATTACTATATTCATGGGGATTTTTCAAGGATTGCAGGTAGTAATTTTGCTATTACATTTGAGAATTTGTACTTCCACAAGATTTATTTGTAAGTGAAAGCATAATTGATGATTGGCTACATGTTTGATTTAAGTGATCGCTTTGTGGATCTCTCCCCCAGCTCAGTTGATGCATTGCTGAAAGTGAGTGGTTAAATTCTGAACGTTATAAGGTTCTGAAGTATGCAGGATTGCACTTGTCTAACATCTTAACGTCATAATTGTCAGCTCGATGAGGATAGGATCATTGCAGGATCTGAGAACGGACTCATCAGGTGAGAATGCTGGTGTAGTTAGAGGAACACTTGGCAGACAACAGATACTTATTTTGCACCCTTTTTATGTCACACTGCTTTCTGAATTGGTGTTTTTGTCCCATTCATCTGTAGTCTGATAGGAATATTACCCAACAGAATCATCCAACCGATTGCAGAGCATTCAGATCATCCTATTGAGCGCCTTGGTAATAATGCCAGCCCTGTCGTGCGCAGATATTTTTCTATGAACTTCAGAATCTCTCTGGACGTGATCTTTGTAAAACTACACAGAAAATGTTTCTCAGTTTATTGCTAGTCGTTTTGCAGTTGACAAAAGACGTTGAAATTATAAGGAGTTCTAGTAATACTTCTTGATATCATATTGTCTCTTTCTACATTTGGTTTACTAATTTCTCTGCAAGCTTGTTCATCCAGTGTCATTTTTTGTTTGTATTTTGTAGCCTTCTCTTATGATAGAAAGTTTCTCGGCAGCATATCGCATGATCAGACATTGAAGGTGTGTAGATCTCTCTCTCTTCCACCCTCCACACCCCCAACACCACCACACCACACCCCCCGCTCTTTCTTTCTCCCCATGTAGGCACATGCGCGCGCGTGCACTTGTGCATTGTTGGTGCAGGTGTACTGCCCGGTGCATGTGTGTGTTTCTGCATTTCTCGAGGCATATGCAAGACTGTGCATATGTGCGTGAGGAAAATAGGTGAGTACATTTGCTCACAAGGTAGTGGAGGAATGATTTGGGGTCGTCCCTACTTACAGCACTTGTTCCGTCTTCCCTTAGTAGTTTGTTAGGCAATCATCATTCTCCTTTGCTAAACTTGAATACAAAATCATGCCGGTAAAGTGTCTTTCTTATTAGGCACTAATCTTTCTTGCAGCTCTGGGATTTGAATGACATATTGCTAGAGTCTGGAGATGCTCCATCGAATCAAGCAGCCATAGATGACAATGATAGCGATGAGATGGATGTGGATGCGAATCCTCCTGCTTCTAACAAGGGTACATTCTGCTCGGACATTTTTGTGCTTGTGGCACCGGGTGCATACTGCATGTTGATGCAGTCTCTACTAGATTGAGCGTTCCTTCATCATATCTAGTAAATCGTGCTGAAATATTTCATATTCTTGGTGGTAATTACCTGAATGACCTGTATGAATTGGCGCTCAGAATTTGATATCGAATACTTCTTTATGTCTCTCGATCTTTCTTTCATTTTTTTCTTCTAAACGATGACACTTTTCTTGGGTTTGATAACTAACGGAGGAATTTATAACCTGTTGCAGGGAACAAGAAGAAACATTCTGGCAAAGGAAATGATGTTGGCAATCCCAACAACTTTTTTGCCGACTTGTAGGTGATTGATGGCTTAAATCTTCATACGTACATGACATGTTGATGTTCATACAAATATATCAAGGCTCGATTCTAGTTGGCACATTTGGCAAGCTATTCGCACGTGTTGTTTTCATTGACAGTGTGTTCTCAGGGGGAAAATTTGACAGGACTCCGTGACCAAGGGCTTCTTATTGTCTATCTAACATTCTCGAAGATGTAATGTTCCATCTTAAAATTTTTTTATGTATTTTGAGTGTTCTCGGGACTACTTACTATATACAAAGTAGAAATCCAAATTGCAAAACGCCTACTCCTCCTCCTGTTGGCATCAATGACTGAAAAAATGAAAGTTAGATGATTGAAATAGGTAAGAGCAAAGATCGTTCCTTCTACATTTCGCCTACGGCTGATTTGCTTGTTCCTCGCATGAACTTGCATGACGTTTAATTGAAAACAAGTCAGATTCAGACATATATTGCAGCTGATAATGACGTTTCTCTAGCGCCTCATCCGTATATTTGTCAAGCGGATGGATCGGACTGGATCAAATTGATTCATTTAACTCATTTTGACTCTTTTATATGCAATATAAATCTATGACACATTCTCGATCAATATTGCTAAAACACTCTCATATTTAACTCAATCTGAGAAAATCATACCCAAACTAAAATGAGAGAGTGGAGTTAGTAAGCGCAAAATCGAGTGAGGGCGAGAGAGAGAGTGAAGAGAGAGTAATAGAAATAGGTTGGAAGTAATCTATAAATCATTTAATATCTATATTATTTTGCGCTTTACATTTCTAAATCAATTTATAACCCATTTGTTAAATATAACTAACCTATATAACAACTCTGTCCATCAAATATAGATTAAGAAATGGATCCATAACCCATTTTGACAGATCTATCTATATCCTTACCTAATAGAAAAAAGCTCAATTTCTGAGGTCTTCTCAATGGCAATCCCTCACCAAAACTATTCATAGGACGATTAAATCATTGCACGTACGTAATTTGTCTTTGCACTCATACACACACATACAAAGACAGATAGGCGAGTGATCGACCAACGACCTGATGATCAGCTTTATATTATCAATACTTGGTTTAAAATTTCTCCCAATGAACGTACGAGGGATGCTAGAGAGACAAAAGACTAGAGGGTAAATTAAGTTCATAAAGTGACGCGACCAACTTTTACTTAGTATTTACGTACCAACTCGATCGCATCAACACAATTTGACACATCGTTTAGAAAAAAGATATGGTACTTACATTTGACAAAGAGGGTAAGAGAATCTCCTAATTGAAAGCTCACACCCAAACAGATTTGGCAATCACTCCAAATATTTCAGTGTCACGAATGCTTGATTCATGACCTCTATTAAAGTAAGTAATAATTAATAGTGTCCTTCAAGCGTTTTCCTTCACATAAAGTGAAGGCGATTTGCTATTCAAAACACACGAAAACTCTCATAAAAACAAGCAGCTTCCATCCGGAGGCGTGCACATGGAAGAAGATGGCTTCTCGACTTGTCTCCAAGCATATACCGATTGCAATTATCTATGCCATTTTACTGGCCAGTCTCTTCACTTTCACTTTCGGTAATTTTCTTGACTACTGGAAATTTATATGATATATTTTCCTTGTGCTTTTCCATAGTGACATAATTCAGCATCTTCCGAGCTCATACGTCCTCTCCAAATGTTGTTTGGACTTTGGAAATACAAATGAATGAAAGCAGGTTCGGAAATGAGAGTGAAAATGAAAAATAGCTTCAGGAATGAAAATAGAAATTGCGGGTGTATTTGTTTCACTGAAAACTTCTTAATATAGGACAATATTTTTTATGGAAATTATTTTCGATAAAAAGATTAGTTTTCCTTTTTTATCGTAGCTTAGGAAAAGTGATTTCCTTCTTACTAAAAGGAGAAGTCATTTTTCCGTCAATCTAAACTTGTTTTTACGTAGATCGATTAGTTTTATGTCATCCAAATATTAGAGAGTCGGAAAACAATTTTCCGAAAACAGTGTCCCTTCAAATAAACAAACCCTCAAATATTAAAAGGTTTCCCATTTCTCGTCTATTTTTGTCCAATTATATTTTTGACTCTAGAGAGAATATATGTGCTCCTAATTGCATCCTATCAAATGTTTTGTTAAATAGAATTACAACAATATTTTCTTCTTTTTTCCCCTTCTTTTTTTGGTTTTTAAGGGGATCCAAAGTACACCTGCCAAGAGAGACAGTGAAGATCTGCCCCATTGCGACGCCTCTTGCCGACTTGCGGGATTTAAAGGAGGGAAATGTCTCGAGCCACACTACCAATTCCGTTGCCGCTATGAATAGTTTCTTATTTTCTCCTCCGTTTACATCACTATGGTTAGGTGAATAGTGATGTAATATTGGTATTTAAATAAAAAAAAAGTTGAAAATAGTTCTTTCTATTTGAGTTCCATTACTCCTACTAAGATATGGTCTTCATGGGACTTTAGCTTATACCTATAATAATTACATGAATTTCTGCACGTTTTAAATCCTCCTTTTCAAATTCGATTGAACCATCAAATAAACATTTTATTTTATGGGGATGTGTGGATATTGCAGAGTGGCCAAATATGAGAATCATTTGGATGTTGGTTTACATTTTAGGGAGCTGATAGGTCAATATATAGTGTTTCGAAAACAAATGATCGCATATAATAATGTACAAAATAAATAATAAATCGAATACCGGGTTTGCATGATTTGGCCGAGGTGACCCTGGAAAAGCTCCACAGTAGATTAAATGCTACAATGGAGAATATAATCACACTCAAGTTACTCAGACACTTTGGTGTTTCTCAAATCCAGTTACACTCGATAACTCACAATATTTAGTTTATTACAACTCTCTTGCGAAATAATCAGTCAATTATAGGGGAATTACACAAAAGTTATCAAGATTTTCACGCCAATCAAATGCTAGCTATTATTTTTGTCCGGACGTAATTCACTACCTTATGCACAACTTCTCACGATTTAAGATCAAACGACAATGAAGATTCCCCCTCTTCCTCGAAGTCTGATGTTACAAGAAACTTAGAGTTAGGCTATTAGTTCAATATGATGAGTTACTTCTGCAAATATGCTCTCCACTTGCCACTTCGTAAATTTTATGGATCATAAAGTTTCTGAGACCTCAAAGCCTTATAGTATAGACTAATGATTTTTGGAGACAAAAGGCAATTTCCTTGCCCCTTTTTTCTTTTTTTTGGCTCAGCTCACTTGTTGACATAAAAAGCTTCACATGCTCGTTCAGAATTCATTGGCTCAAGCAGTCCTTGCTGCACTAATTCTCCATATGCCTAATTATGAGCACGCTCGAAGTCTAAGTTAGACTCTCCTTTTTCGATTTTCTTGACCAGCTTCAACTTCAAGATTCTGACTTCAACATGTAAACTATTGTACTGCTTCAATGTGGGCCGGGTTTGATTCGCCGGGTTTAAGTTTGACATAGATCCTCAATGCTTCTTTCGAGAATCCTACTCATTCTCCCGCAATTCCTCGAGAGCTCCTCAACCACCATTTACATCTTTCAGGTCTTTGTCGCGCTAAAACTTCGTATAAGCATGCATCTTTACCTACTTCACAAGATTTCTCAGACACAACGTGGTCTATTACTGATAAATTAAAACCAGTATTGCATCCATCACTATGAGAGGATTAAACTCGGGTCTTTAGCTACTCCACGAGTTTAAATCGCACTTCTTTAAAGTTTACAATTTGATTAAACATAAATATGGTTGGTGCAATTTAGACCGTCAAACGGGTGGTCGGGTCGGGTCGAATATGTTCCGACCCAAATTGATTTATTTAACACATTTTTACCCATTTCCATGCAATATAAATCTAGTGATGCATACCCAACCCAGTATATACCCGGCTTGAACCATATTTAACACAATATAGGAAAACTCATATCTGATTGACGAAAGAGAGCGGAGCGAGAGAGCGCGAGATCAATTGAGGGTGAAAAAGAGTGAAAGGAAAGTCATAGAGATGGATTGGGCTAAGTAAGTTGTGAACCCATCTAACACCCATATTATATCGAGTTTTATCATTCTAAGCCCATTTATGACTTATTTACTGAATATAACTAACCCGTATAACAATTCGGCCTATTAAATATAGATTAAGAAATGAGTTTATGACCCATTTTGACAAGTTTACTTATCAGCACCACATTTCAGTATTTAACCATCGAACCGATGGCATGTTAACAACTTGATAATGTTAGTAACTATAGGCAACTAAGAAATTTGATTGCACAAATCGAGAAAGAAGATTCGCATTAAAGGATCAAATTGCATCAACAACAGTACTTAGAGGACTAAAATTGTACTTCATCCTTTCTTCATGAATGTACTTAAACCTTTCTTCATCTGTGTCATTATTACAAATTTTTATGTATTGTGTCACCCCTTTTATCTTTTCAAAATTTAAAACTTTGGGACTTCTCCGTAGATACTTCTAAAGTTTCACCATGTATGCAAGTACACAAATTTGACGCAAAGTCATAACAAATGGAGATTTACTATTTCTCTAATCCACTTAGGAAAATAAAAACAGAAACTACCGCTCCGTTTGTTGCGTGCAAAATAAATTATTTGAAAAATATTTTCCTAAAAATGATCGCTTATTTTACTTGAAATAATTAGTCAAATGAAAAATATCTTCATTACCGACAACAATTTACATCTAAATATTTTCGTAAACGATGAAAATATTTTCCATTTATTCATTTTTGTAGTAGATACAAGCGATCAGCTTTATTCAAATAATTCATTTTATGCAAAAATACACCCTATATACTAACCGAAACCGATGAATCCCTAGCAAATTTCTCTATCCAGAAAAGTTGAGTAGTTAGTCACCTAAGCAATTATGTAACAAGTAGTCCCTAGTCACTAGTATAATTAGAAATGTAATAATTACTATTTACATTTACGATATGCACTTTAATAGCCTAGATTTGCATTTACATAAAAAAAAATGAAGTCTACTATAGTATGGGACACTCGCCATGTGGAATGAAAAAATTGTGTAATTTCTTCTGCAAAAGTTACTAATGCATATAGAAACAATCCCTAGATTACGTTTTAGGCTGTGTTTGGTCGTTTGGATTTCTAGTCATGATATGATTGGATAAGATAGAATATGAAATATCTATTGTTTGGTGAATCATAGTAATAAAATCGGATATTTTTACATATTACCATATCTATTATTTGCAATGAACGTCATATCAGTGTAAATGAATATAAAAATTACACAAACTAAAACGATAAAAATTTCTCATCACACTCTTACCTACTTCATTTTTATTTGCTCATTTTTTATTATTTTTCCCTCTCTTTTTTAATTCTTTTCTTTTTTTATTTCTTTTTTCCCCTTACATCATTATCTAATAAAAGTTTATTAAATAGTAAACTATACTAATATACCTAAATTATTTAGTAAATACAAATACTAAATTTTTATATATATAAAAATTTATATCATAAAATAGAAAGAAATTTGAATATATAAAAAAATAAGAATAAAAAAAAACGAAATTGTTGTTATTTTTTATATTAAAATTCAAATATTATTGATATTCATATATTATTTTAATTTTATTAGTTTAACAAGTTTGTTATTTGAGAAAAATAACTTTTATATGAATATTAGAAATCATATCCACCTTTATCTCACCTCTCCCATGGGATTATTTTATCCGAAATATATCCTTTTTATATCCGATTTTATTCTATCTTGGGCAGGCGCCAAACACGGGATAGAATAAAATTTATCCTATCCTGAATTTTATCCCAAACGTAACCTTAGTCTTTACTTAATCAAAATTTTACGATGTGCGTAGTCTTCTTTTAATCCAAAACACCGATACTTTCACAAAATGCAAAAGTTGACACATAAGATTCACATTTTTTTCATCCTTTTTTTGTTAAATTCGAACAATATTTTAAATTGTGGAGGAAAACAAAAAAGAGTAGCTTGTCATGTTACTTTTACTCTAGCTGAAACAGGCATGCTCTCTACCAGGCATTCACCCATAGAACAAAGCTACACATTTAACTTTGTTAGAAGCTTTCAAGAGGTCTAGGCAAATGCTGCTACGCAAATGTGGGTAATATCAAATGCCAATGCATCATGTATATCGATCAACTATTCCATCTAATAGCTGTAATGAACTACAAACCGCCAACAGCTGTCTGATAGTCCCTGCTACAAATACTTTTTGCTCGTTGTCTCTAATACAGCAGTAGAAGTCTCTCTAATAGTTAGTCTAGAAGAAAAACACCTGCAAGACCGAGTGATCCAAATCATACCCATGACCGGCTTCGTTATTGTGAGTGGAGAGAGTAACTCAAATTTATCAGAGGAATAGGTCTCCTCAACGAAGTCCGGCAGTGTCCAAAGGATAACAAGCTCTTCCTTCTGTTCTCTCCATTGTTTAGCCAGCACGTCCTCGCACATCTTCACCTCGCGGCTCCGACGGCACAAGCTCATCTCCAGAATAAGTCATCATTGTTAGAAGCCTGAACAAAAGCTTGTGCATCCACCTTGACAAGCAGGTCCGTTGCAACAATATGTGCAGCTAGGCCATCACTCAGCGTCCACACCAACATTCCTGGAAAAACCAATAATCCAGTGAAATCAGAGGAAACTTGACCACAAATTGAAGAAACCGAAGGGAGGTGATGTGAGGGAGACAAAGAGCAAGGGCTTTCATGTGACTTGAGAGCCCCTATGTGCGTTCGTGTGTGTGTGTTTGCACGCATTCTCGTTATCTGCTTTAAGACATCAATTATGTGACATCAACATTTTGACAATAATAAATAGATTATTGAATCACACAAAAAGTGGAGTTCGAGGAAGATATTCACAGAAAAACAGTAATCTACTAGATTACTCGAGGAAGGATGCTTATTAATCGCTAAAATTAAAAAAGTAGCACAAGCGCGAGCATAAAAGGTGCTCTACTGAAAGGATTATAAACAAAAATTACATATGCCAACCTTGGTCTATTTATTCTCTGAACTGCACACAATGACAAATGGAAAAGAAGAATGTAACATCAAAAGATCAACTTGCCATGTACTGTAGTTCAATGTTTGGCTCCCCCAGTTTCATCAAATTCTGCAAGTAAAAAGAACATGTCACCAAACGGCAACTCCTAAAATAGTGATCTAAATAGAACCTGTACTTCAATAAGAAGTTGGATGACATAATAGCGTTTCGATTTACTCCACAGAAATCAAGTTTACACATTTCGGTAAGAAATCAAGACCACAATTTTTACCTTTTTCTTTTTGTCATTTTGGGATGACACTCCGCTCCCACAAATGTGAACTTGTAGCTAGATGCATTCTCCTTGCGACATTATATTGTTCTTGCAGTATGAAACTTTCTGCAGAAATATGACATGAATTTAGTAGAAGTGCCAACGAATAGCCAAATCTGTGAGCGAAAAGATTATCTACACTTAGCAAGAGTCAGGTAACACTGCATACTATAGGCTGTCTTCTAAATGAGAGTACTAGCTCAATCGGCAATTTTCTTCTGTAACTCGTGATTTCTTACGCAGCAAGCTCCATATCAACAAGAGGCCAACCCAACCAGATAGCATACCAATAATATGTTGCATAAGATATTCTGTGGAAAGTTTGCCTCAACATGATGCTAACATTGTGCATGGACAAACTAAAGGGGGAACCCCCTTTAGATATTTTTTGTAACTGCTTCTTCACTGACAGTTAAATCCCTTCTGGAGCTCCGTCGTGGTATCCAAAATCCTGATGAACCATAATCGAATTCTTAGCTTGATACATGACAGACAGAATTTCTTATTAACTGAGAAGTAAACCTCCAAAACAGAACTGTTAAGCAGAAATTTAAACCGATCCATTGGACCATGTCAAAAACAACACAAACCACCAGTTAGGCATTCCAAATGACAATGCAGAGAACTCGTGAAGCAACAATAATGAAGTTTAAAAAAGAAAAGAAACAACTCACAAGGAGAAATGAACAGAAACAGCAAAAAGTGCTCTTATGCCAAAATAGAAAGGCTTACCAAAAATCTAACAATGATTTACACTTAGAAAGCGGGATTGGATGAAAAAAAACAGATGAAATATTGGTCAATGGTCCTTGACCACGCTCCCTAGGGTTCATTGTATGACATGAATTTATCATGTCATTATTGTACGTCAAGAAAACCTGAAACTTCACTTTTGGAGATTCTTTAGTAGTAAATTGAGAAAGCCATCATTTTTTCAAGGTCCTTAATTCTGTAAACTCGTAAAGAAATTTGCAGGAGTCGAAATCATCCTATTAAACAACTGAATAGAATGAAAGAATAAAAGTGGCAACCCTCAAATCTTTAAGTCAGATGATAACAATCCTCAAAATGTTCTAGCAATCACAGGCATAGAGTAATAAAATTCAATAAACTCCAGAAACAATACAAGATAAACACACCTTGGATCAAGCTGCTGCGCAATACACAGCCACTACACATGGAAACAGCCACTGTCATGAACTATGCCTAAGAGAAATTGCAGTTGCATTTGACAAGAATCCCAACTTCTCTAGCATAAAATGGAAATTAGTTCCAATTTGATAGCCACTTCTTATAGAGGTTAAAAGCCAGATTAAGCTTCCCCATTTTGCAGTATCCATTAACAAGGATCTTCAGGGGAACATGATCGATTGGTATTCCAGATTTTTGTATCTTGTCAAAAAGCCTTTCTGCCTTGTTCAAGTCACCTCTCACACAGTAAGCCCTGATTAGTTCAGTATAGGTTACAATGTCCGGTTCACACCCCCTTCTCAGCATTTCATCGTGTAACCAAAGTGCAAAACGCATCTGGCCTAAGTTACAAGCAGCACCAATCAACAAATTGTAAGTAACCACATCAGCAAAAAGCCCATTTAGATGCATCTCTCGCTTGAGCAAGTAAGCATCAGAAAGATTTTCCCTCTTTACTCGTGCATCTATTAATGCATTATAAGTAAAAACATTTGGCGCAATGCCAGACACCAACATCTGATCCCTAACAAATAGGGCTCTACCAAGATCACCGCCTCTTCCATAACCATATATTACACAATTCCATATGGATGGATCAGGCACCATTGACTCCTCTAACATAAGCTGAAGAAACTCATATGCTTTCTCAACATCTCCATGAGCACACAAGCCTCGAATAATTATTTTATACGTGATCAGATCCGGAGCAACTCCCTTCATTAACATAATGCTGTAGACATGGGACGCCTCACACAATTTTCCTTCCTCGTAGAATCCTCTTAAAAGAATATTGTAAGTAAAAACATCAGGATGGAAACCTTTTTTCAGCATTTGACAAAATGCACCAATTGCACTCCTCATGTCTCCATTTGAAAGAAGTCCATGGATAAAAGCATTGTAACTAATCACATCCATCTTATTATTCTGCTGAGATATCTTGTCCCATATAGTAACTGCTTCAAGCACATTACCATTCTTAAAATAACCATCCATCAGTATAGTTGATGTAATTAAATCCGAGGTTGCCTTGTCATTATCCTCACTAACTAACTGACCAAGAAGCTTCCTAGCTTCCTCCAAAAGACCCTTCTTGCACAAAGCATGCGCAAGTATGTTACAGGTTATACGATTCGGCTGAACACCACAACTCACCATAGAAGACAAAAGATAGAGAGCATTGTCCATGTTATTAGTACGGCAATAGCCCATGATGTAACTGTTGAAGGATACACAATTGGGAAAAGGTCCCATTTTCAACATATCCGCAAAAAGAAAACCTGCCTTCTCTAAGTTACCACTTCGACACAATCCACTTAAAAGATAATTATGAGAAACTATATCAGGAACAGCACCAAGTTGTATCATTTTCTCACGCAACCATAATGCAGCCCCCAGCTTACCCTCTGAACACAAATTCCTTAATATACCTTCATGATCCTCATAATTAGCCACTAAATTGTACCCACCATCAACCATTCCTGCCACATCTATGCTCTCCCTACAAATTTTGAGAAAGAAAATCAGTATAAAAAAATAATTGTGTGAAAGGAATTATATCAATCGCTACTACGACCTGATAGAAGTTCATTGACTGCAGTAGCTAAACTAGATATATTCAGCATCATAATCTCAATAATTTGAATATCAAATCCAACAAAGCTATACATCGTTAAAAAATCACAATTACCAATACAATACTCAACCTTCCTTCAATGGACATTTCATGTCAGTATGCAATGACAAGTATGTTGACATGCTTACAAAGTGATACATTGAGACACGAGAAGCATTGTCAGTCGTAACTGATAATTACCGAGTCATCAAATTCTAGGAAACTAATAATGTCCGCAATAAACATAGGAAACCAACTTATAAATCAACCTAGACACGGGCAGATTCAGAGATGTGCTAAGAGAGATTCAAAGGATACTCACCAATTCATGATGTCACACACATAATTACACTAGATACCTTTTTTCTCCGCTAAACCTGATCATATATGGTCCTAGAAAGTTAAGGATCATTTTTACTAGCACCTCCACACAAGGATGCCTCATATTTTCTGTAACAGACACATATACAGAAGGATCACATTACAAAACCACGATCATAATCAGAATGGCATTATTTGTTTTTATAGATGCTATTAAATTTCCATTACAAAAGCAATGAAAAATGGAAAAGGACTACCCAATTAGTATTTTGCAACATCAGTGGGAATAAAATAAAAGCTTATGCCTGTGACTCAGTTTTGCAAGGGCAAAATAAGCATAAACTAAGCAACATTGATGCAATCAAAGCATATATTTCCAATGGGGAAACTCATTCTAGAGGAAGTTGATCAGCACACATGAGCCTCAGCATCAAAAAATTTTAATTCAAGCACCACACCTCATTGATTTTAGACGCTCCAAATTGCCCTTTAGCAATCCATCCAAAACATTGTATACTTCCTTTGGGTTCCTCTTGTTTTTAAAGTTATCCTCTTCTGGATAGCAATCTTCTCTTGCGATCCAGTTTGGCAGAGTTTCCACAGCATCTTCAAGAGGCAAAGCAAGGCCATTTTGCTCACAAATTCTTCACTCCATAGATAACAAAAAAGTGAAACAACTTTAGCAAGTTCAATATGCAGCTTGATAAAAATGATAAAATCTCATTTAGTTAACATCTATCTGTTACAGATAAAGCCGCACACAAATGGAGCTTTTACCTTGGGTGAGGATGACTATAGGTTTTGGAGAAGAGGATGTCAGCAACATTGCACTTGATGCAGTCAAGGATACTGTCCATGAATTGGAGAACGAAAATATGGGAGGACAACAAAGGTGCTAAAAGTGGATCTCCACGGGCAATTAATAACTGGAAAAGAATTGACAACTTTAGAAATTTAACAATCAGCTTAGTAAGGAGAAAATGAGTGCTAGACTTGTAATGGAAGTTATCTAGGAGAAGGATTTATCAAAGTTCTCAGAGGTTAACTTACAGCCATGATACAGTCTCCCTTTATATCTCCCAATCATGGGCATCTACAGCATCTCTGTCAGAACATCCACTGAATTGAAATTCATCAACCTCCTCTCCTCTCCCCAGATTCTCCATCATATATGTTCTCAGTTAAGAGAAATGTATGAGAAATTACCTCAGGATCAGCACTGCTTCGTTCCATGTTCTCATACAACCATAATGCAGACATCAAATGCCCCAATAAACACATATGTCCACATAATTATCGAAGCAGTATCTAAAATGCATCCACTATCAACCCAAAGCCAAATGTATACTTCACCTGCAAATTTCAAAACAGAAAACAGAGAGAGATATCATGTATCATGGAAACTATATTACTCACTCACCGTACTAGAAAGTTCCAACCAATAGCACTCGCCATCACAACATAATACAAATTCGTTGACTACAGTATTCAACAAGACATACTCAGTACAGCCATGGACAGATCAACATAAGGGTCCCCCAAATACATATGCATTGTAAAACACCAATGTGCTAAAAGCAAGTCTAGTGGCAGTATCCTCACAATATCAACCTCACTGACAACCCCACAAGCAATAGACAGAAAATACAATATCAATGATGTTTCAAATGAAAAAATCCCACCCAAAAAAAATTTCCAACAATTTTTGCACTTTACTCACCTCGAACTATTATCCTCATCAATTTTCCGCGCCCAACCCACGCCATTATCTTTTCTTATAGCACAATTAAAACAGCAAAAAAAAAAAAGTCGATTACTTGCATTAGATCAACGGGGAAAAAACCTAGAATAACGCACACATTGGGATCGTATACTCCAAATTGATTCTCAACATATGATGATAAACACCAGCAGCAGACACATGCTCCCAGAAAACATAAGCAAATGCGAGCTTTACAACCGCAGACAAAATGCGAAATCAACAACCAATTTCAAAATCATGCTTACATCGACTGAACTGAGTTGAAAAGGAAATGCACATCGAAGCCCGGCGAGAAGGAGAAATCGACGGCCGGAGTGGAGTTCACCGCTTCGCCGGAGGTCGGCGTCGCTGCCCGTCGCCGGCGACGGCGTGAATTTGAAGCCGAGAGAGACGGCCTGAAGATGAAGCGGAGCCGGCGGTGAAGCTTTGGTGCCCTAATATATGGTCCCACTGAGCCTTTGATCCTTCTGATAAAGAAGACAAGGTAAAATTTTTCTTTTATTTTTTAATTAAATTAAGGGTTAATATCACGAAAAATCCTAAACTAGTATACCTGTGATAATTTTATCCCGAATTAATTTTTTTACCACAAAAAACCCTAAACTGGTACACCTGTGACAAATTTACCCAGAATTATTTTTTTGATCACCAAAAATCCCACACTGGTACACTTATGATAATTTTATCCCGATCTAATTTTTTAATCACCAAAAACCCCAAACTGATACAGCTGTGACAATTTTACCCCGAATTAATTTTTTGACCGCTAAAAACCTTAAACTGGTACATTTGTGACAATTTTACCTTTCGTTAGCGTATGTTAAATTGAATTAATATCACGAAAAATCACAAATTAGTAAACTTATGACAAACAGAGGGGTAAAACCCCAAACTGATACATCCGTCAATTACCACGTGTTATCAAACTTAGCAATTTAATAGTAAAATTTAATGGAAACTAATGGAGGGTAAATTTATCACAGGTATACCAGTTTGGGATTTTTGGTGATAAAAAAATTGGTTCGGAGTAAAATTATCACGAGTGTACCAGTGTGGGGTTTTTTGTGGTCATAAAATTAGTTCAAGGTAAAATTATCACAGGTGTACCGGTTTGGAGTTTTTTGTGGTAAAAAAAATAGTTTGAGGTAAATTTGTCACAGGTGTACCGGTTTGGGGTTTTTCGTGATATTAACCCTTAAATTAAATATTTTTCAATATTTTTCTATTTTGTAGAGAGGTTGCTCGCGAAATTAGACTTGCTCATTGAGCGAACCTAGGGCGGGCTCGGACCGGGGCTGCTTGTGCCGAAACCTCCCGAGGTCCTACCCACGTCCATCGAGGCTCGAACTCACAGGTTTTGACAAGTGCCTAGGCTCGCCCAAGGGGAAACTACAGGCGGGTCGAGGCAGGCCTCTTTTTCTTATTTTTAAAATTTTTAGCTAAAAAATTTATAAGAATTGGAAATAAGCAAAGAAATAAATAAAAGTGTTATTTTATCTTATTATTTTACATGTAAGTTTTATATACTCTTCCTCTATTATATTAGATTTTTCTTTTTAAGTTTTATTTTTTTAAGGAAAATCCTAAATCTATTTAATTAAATAACACAACGTAAAAGGCAGAAGGCGACATTTAAGAATTTATTTCATCAATGGTCAACAAACACTTTGAATGTGCATTTTAGTTAATATTATTAATTTAAAACCAATTGTAATAACTAAGTTCACAATTGGACATAAATTTGTTAATGTCCCATATACAACTAAAGTGTGTATTGAATACTATAGGCACCAATGCAACTCATTTTAAACCATTTCCAAAACTTTCAGCCACCTCTTATAACTTATGCAGTAGTAATACATTTTGATCTTACAAATATCATATAATTACTAAAATCTCGCAAAATAACTACCACCGTAGCTTTTTATTTATGTTAGGCTCCCTTTATTTTGCAAAAAAAAATTTCGGGGAGAACAATTTTCTCATTTTTTAGTGTTTAGATCGCTTTGAAAAATAAGTCAACGAAAATATATGCTTAAATTCAGGCAAATAATTTCTTCCATCAAAAATAAAATAATTATTCCATCAAACATTTAATCTGAAACCTTAGTTCCTGTTCAAGATCAACCTCTCTTCTGATCTTACTTTTAGAACGATTTCCTCCCTTTTTGTTTTCCCTGGTTCAGAGAAGGTTCAAGCTCAACAATTAGTAAAAAATGAGACACCGAACAATTCTATGCCGAAACCCGAAAACGACTCCATCAAGGCTTGATGTTAGGCTTTGAATCAGTCGAAAAGCACGGAGCCAAGCCATAATTTGAGTTCAACAATGATGCTGTCTACTATTGCTAGCGATGCTTGCTGGGCAGGAGCTATACATCTATAATGTAAAGATACTCTACACGAACAAAATTGTGTATGCTGCCTAAACCACAGTTTTCCCCTCGCATACATCGCAAATTGTATGACCGAGGCCTTCGCAGTAAGGGCATTTTGCTCCCTCGCCTACCCATTCCATGAACTGCATGCAAAACACTCGGTAAGTTCGATCTCGGAAAACTGCACGCGCAACAACGTACAAAAGGGAAAAACATCCATTCCTCGTTTTACCTGTGGTTCAATGTTTGGCTCCCCTGTCCCGTCACATTCTGCAAGTAAGAAGAACGTGTTACTAAGACCGCAACTTCCGTTAGAAACTTTAGTAACCTATAACAGCTTGGACTTTCGCACGAAATATTGGACAGAGGACAAGCGAACCCATATTCAAAGTCAGATCTCAACACCCATTCCGATCTGTTTTTTGGCAGGTTTTGCTGCTATTTAGTGGAACCTGCTGTTGCGGTTCTTGCGTAATTCGCTTATGTCCTCAACATGCATTTAACTCAACTTTTGCCCAGAATTAAGAACTTTGAATCGACCATTGCCAAGCTCCACAAGTAATGAATCTACTTGACAGAATTGTGCTTAGCAATGACTATTTTCTCTACTGCCACATCCATTCATGAGACTTTTGTGTTCTAAACAGCATGAATTCAGTGTTAAACTACAGCAAACTGATTGAGATATGAGCAGTATTTTGAAGTTAGCGTGACTTTAACCTCAGTTTCTAATTTAGAAGAATCACAAGTTCCTTACGGAAAGCTATAAAGCAGAAGCATGGTTCAATTGTGTTCCATTTTCAAGCACCTATCCGATCATCTATGCAGAGGATAGGGAAACCACTAGTGATACCTGTGCACATTAAGTGACCCTCTCCTCTACAAGCGAGGCACTTGGTCGTTGTGCTGCCACTCTTGCTTTCACGAACTTGTCTATTTCTGCCAGCGAGTCTTTTTGGTTCCTCCCAGCGGTTCTCACCAAGTAGAAACACTCGATGTTGAGATACTTCAACTTCTGAATCACTTTGTTTGACAACTGTCTGCTGAATTTCCGACATTTCTGTCACCGACAAAGCTGCAGCTCCATTTGCACCATCCTAGAAAACAGCAAAACGCTTTGCCAATTATTCACTATAAAATTTATATTGAAAAGAAATAATTTTCTTCTGCTGCATTCCAATCTTGTAAGTTTCAAAATAACCAGCTGCGGCGAGAAACTCAAGTTTAAGTTCATAAATGGTATGATCAAAAATTGAAATTAAAGACATGGTGTAGAAAGTGTTCTTAGACATGGTGTAGAAAGTGTTCTTACTTCTTTCCCGAAGTACAGCCTTTGCAAAAGTTCTACAGTCATTATCCCATCTTCTTTGGCACCTACTGAGGCCTGTGAAGCAGCATTGTTTTATCAACGATGGGAATGAACAGAGAAAGCAATCAGAAAATTTGAGTTGAACGGAAGCAAACATTTGGATCTCACAACTTACTTGCCAAGTTTTCACAGCTCGCTCAGTCCCGCTGGAGAAGCTGGAATACTCTATGTCTTCCTCACCTGAGTAAAATCCCAACCTCTGAAGCGCTTCCTGTCAGAGCAAAACATTTTCGAGAGAATCATTACTATCAGAAGAAGACTGACTGGCAATTCAGCTAACAGGTATAGCACAACCGAGAAATAGAGAGTATGACAACGGAAGAGAAGATGACTTCGACTGCCATGGCCCATACTTACCCCTCCTTGTCGAATATGGACCATGTTACCTGTTCTTCTTCTGATATTGGTTTTTGTGAGATAACCAACTATAAGCTTTAAATTAAATCCAAATCAAACTAGCAGGGCTACATTCAGTTTTTCAGCTCAAAACGAATTGTCGATCCTAAAAAGAATTGCATCTACCTGATTGCTTACACCTGAAACTGACGACCACAGCAGCTTCCTTAGCATTTCAATTCACGTTAATGTCCCCTAATATAACTAGTTCTACTCGGCACGTTAACAAATCTGTTCGACTAGCGCGTGAAACGTCAAAAGCTAAACTCGAATTCCTAGGACATTTACCACTCGAAAAGTCATACAACCTATGGGCACCTTTAGGACCGCCATAACTCCAATCCACTAAACTCTCGGTTCTTCTCATCAGAGTCAATTAATCTAGAAAAACTGCATAGCACAACACATTCCCACATTAAACTTTTTATAATCTGGGACCTCACCGGATCAGTGACATGGTGATCTTTGTGGACATAATCCAAAGATTGCAGAATAACCTTCAGTAATCAATTCACAAATCGCACAAAGATTAATGACCTGTAGTCTTAAGTAATTTACTCAATCATCTAAAGGCAAGACGATACACTTCTCACAAATAATCTCCAGTTTAACTAGTAATCCTTATTCAGCATTACCAAACAATCAGATGGAAAGACAAAGAGGAAATCTATAATTGCAAGAACTCGCCTTTCGAGCAACATTTGTTAATTAGGGGTTGCAAGCAGACCTGCATTGCTCGAACCTCATCTCCTTCAGCTCCCACTCTCAGTGCCCTCCTCATCATCTTCTTCTTCTTCTCACTCTCATTCTCTTCTTCCTTAGTTTCGCCTTTCGAAACCCGAACGACTTTCTCCTCCACTACAATCTTCTCCTCCTCCACCGCCTCCTCCTTCTTCTCCTCCAATACCATCGGACTCGCGCTCGACCCGCTCTCCGCAATCAAACTCCTCTCCTGCAACGCCCGCAAGAGTGCGGCCACGTTTGCCGCCTCCCCCGGATCGCTTCCCGGGATCTGAACCTCGCGCTCCAGGGCCTGAACCCGGAGCTTCAGCCTGGCGATCTCGCCGAGGAGGGACTCCCTCTCGCGGGCCCACCTCTGCTCCTCGCGGAGCCACCGCTGCTCCTCGCGCAGCCACCGCTGCTCCTCCCGGAGCCAGCGGGACTCCTCGAGGCCATAGTCGGGGCCGCCTGGAGATGCCGAGAGGACGACACGGAGGTGGCGGTGGGCCTTGGGGAAGAGGCAGAGAGAGGAGGGTTTGGAGACAGGGAAGGTGAGGGAGGATGGGTGGTGGTGGGGTTTGGAGTGGAGAGAGAGAGTGGTGGGGTTGATAGAGTAGGATGGAGAAGAAGAAGAAGAAGAAGAAGAAGACATGAGAGTAAGAGAGAGAGATGTTGCAGAGAAGATGGAGTGAGACGGGAGGTTGGAGGAAGAGGAGGAAGAGGAGATGGGGGGCAGAGCAGAGGAGGATATTTGTTGATGGGTTTTGCTTTTGAGTTGGTTAAGTTTTGAACCACATGTTAGTTAATCGGTGGCGGGAGGCAGGATTCTTTTTATGTTATTTTTTTATCACTCTGTGTTTTTTTTTTTTAACTAATAAAAATAAAATATGATCTTGAAAGAAAACCGGGCTTAATACCCACATGCTTAATGCCAACAAAAATGCGGATTCCTCGTTTGAAAAGGGGAAAAGGTCGTAAAAAAATATCAAATTATACTCATTATGACACATTTTATCTCGAACTTTTTTTATGACATCAAGAACTCCAAATTATAGCCACTGTCACACATCTACCCTAAGCTTTTTATTGTGATATAAAACTTCAAATTTATACCTATATGACACATTTACCCTCCATCAAGGTTCCATCAGCTAATTTTTCTGTCAAAACGACTTTTTTATTTCACTTAAGTTACGTAAGCGCTATGTCAACAACATTTGCTTTCATGCGTCAATATAGGCAGATTTTTAACGGTCCTCATTGACGGATGGCAAGTGTGTCACACAAGTACAAATTTAGAATTTAAGTTTAGAGTAAATGTGTCATATTGGGTATAATTTATGATTTTTGGTAACTTTTACCCTTTAATAAAAGTGAGTTTTTACCTTAACATTACTAACAAACTCTTATTTTCAAGATATATATCCACATCTTCACTTTAGCAAAGTCGTAGGATGATGTACCAAAAGCCGAGCATGACAAACGTTTTGCAAAGCTCAAGGAGAAAGTGAAACAACTACAAGGCTTACAAAGCCAATGCCCGACCGACTTTCCTATCTATGCCATGGTCAATATGCCGAAGAAGTTCAAAATGCCGGAGTTCGAAAAGTATGATCACACTTTCTACCCGAATATCCATTTACAGACATATTTGGTTCAAATGACTCAATAGTCGATAATGTGCCTTGATGATTCAATTCGTTCCAAGCAAGCTTGATTGGAATTCTAAGTAAAAACTGATGTATAGCTTTTAGTTGTTTTATAAGAAAATTCAATGCTGAATTTTGTGTTCGTATTAACACAACCAATGCCGAAGTGGGCATGACAGCTGTACAAAAGGAGAGAAATTGAGTATTGGCACAGAGTCTGGAATTCTCATGTTCACTAAGGATGATCGATTTCAGGGCAGGTCGGTTCTCACCTTAGAACCTAAAATCGAACCGGGTAGGATCGATTCCCTATTTGTGGAATTGGGGACCACCCACCTGATCCTAGGATCGATCCAGTCCGGTTCCTCAATCCCAGAATTGGTTATTGGTTCTTCTATTTTTTTTTTTTTTTTTTGGTAACCGAGGTATCCGGGCCAGCTTGCGCGCACTTCGACTATTCCTCGGGGGAGACTAGTACAGCAACCCATCGCCATGGCCCCCCACTTAAATCACAAGTGCTCAGCTGGGGAATCGAACCTGGGACCAGTGCACCTAACCACACAATCCCAAGTACGCCCTAACCAACTGAGCTACTCATGGGTGGGTTTGGTTCTTCTATTTTATTTCTTCTACTCCCAACAAGTGGGAGTTTTTCAACATTAAAATAAACAAATAATTTACTAATTAGAGTTTGTTTCAAAATAAAATAATAATAAAAATTTAGAAATTTTGGCTAATCCGTTGGCTTGCTTTGGGCTCTTATGTGGAACTAGAGATCGAACAAGTTTCCCTGGGAACCACCAAGAATCGGCTCGTTGAATCCGGTTCGGTTTCCAGGTTGAATCAAAACCAATGCACAACCCTAGTGCTCACCACGGTCCAAACTATAAGAGGGCAGACCCAACATACAAGAGTTTAGTGAATACCTATTAATTTTAATACCACATATTTTTGTTTGTTTGATTTTGATGGATTAGGGGTGAGGAACCCATCTAGTTCAACTTCGAAATCAAACTAAACTGACGCTAATCAGTTCACAGGGAGAATCGGATAGGTTTGTGGATGAAAATCAGGGAACTGATCTTAACCGATTCGATTTCCAATTTTATGCCATGAATCTTCGGTTTTACATGAGAACCGGCCTACCCATGCATGGGTAACATATGTTAAAGAAAATGGTTAATACCACGAAAAACCCTAAACTGGTACACTTGTGACACATTTACCAAAAACTATTTTTTGACCATAAAAAACCCCAAAGCCCGGTACACACATGACAATTTTACCCAGAACATACCACAAAAACCCCAAACTGGTACACATGTGACAATTTTACCCTGACCTAATTTTTAATATTATTTTTAATTTTTTTGAATTTTGAATTTTTTTCTTTTCTTTTTTTTTTTGTTCAATTTCAACCTCTGGCCGGTCGCCGGTCCGGCGACCAGCCAGAGGCGGAAGTCGGCGAGGGCCGCCCTCGGCAGCTGCTGGCAAGGGCCGCCCTCGCTTGACTCGGCAAGGGCGACCCTCGCCGGATCTAGCAAGGGCGGCCTCGCCGGCGTCGGATGAGGGCTGTCCTCGCCCGACGCCGGCGAGGGCGGCCCTTGCCCGACGCAGGCCAGGGAATCCCTCGCCCGACGCCGGCGAGGGCGGCCCTCGCCCGACGCCGGCGAGGGCGGCCCTCGCCGGCTTCCGCCTCTGGCCGGTCGCCGGACCGGCGATCGGCCAGAGGTTAAAGATGAAGAAAAAAAAAATAAAAGGAAAAAAATAAATAAAAATTCGAAAAAATAAAAATAAAAATATTAAAATTTTAATTCAGGGTAAAATTGTCACATACGTACCAGTTTGGGGTTTTTTGTGGTAAGTTCAGGGTAAAATTGTCACAGGTGTACCAGTTTGGGGTTTTTGATGGTCAAAAAAATAGTTCAGGGTAAAATTGTCATAGGTGTACCAGTTTGGGGTTTTTTATGGTCAAAAAAATAATTTGGGGTAAATGTGTCATAAGTGTACCAATTTAGGGTTTTTCGTGGTATTAACCCTAAAGAAAAACACCATATTTTAGACATGGAGATCGAATCTGGGCATGAAAGATTTAGTCACTATGCCAAAGGTTATTATCATGACACGTTCTCCTACTTTTAAATATAATATTACTTATAATTTGTTTAAAATCGAAAAAAAAAATATAGCAAGGTTGGTTTGGTTCTAGGTTAATTCACAGTTCCAAAACGCTGGTTCCGGCTCTGATAGGTTAGGTTCAAGATTCATTGTCGGAAATCTATCATCCTAGAATCGATCACCCGTATGTACAACTGAATGAAATTTTTTTTATTTCTCCAACTAAATATGTTTTCGTACAGACTAATAGGCAAATAGTAAGTTATATGAACTTGTATGAACTGCTTAAAACGAGTTATTTCAGTGACAATTAATGATTTAACTTGGTACTTTAATAGAAAATTTCACATAGCTTTAATACCCCAGCTTTTCTTATTCCGTCTCAAATTAGTATTCTTAATTTATTCACTAAGAATATAGAGGTATATATTAAACTTAATTTATGTATTTTTCTTTCATTATTTTGAAAAATATGATTAGTATATCCTCAAAACTTTTATAATACAAAATTTAGCCACTGTATTAGCATATTTAATACCGTCAATTTAAAAAAAAGGTTAATATCACGAAAAACTCCAAACTGGTACACCTATGATAATTTTCCCCCGAACTAATTTTTTAACTATGAAAAACTCCAAACTGGTGCACCCGTGACAAATTTACCCCGAACTATTTTTTTTACCACCAAAAACCTCACACTGTTACACGTGTAATAATTTTAACCCGAACTAATTTTTTGACTATCAAAAGCCCCAAACTGGTACATCCGTCAACTACCACGTGTCATCAAACTTAGCAATTTGACAGTAAAATTTAATGAAAACTAACGAAGGGTAAATTTATCACAAGTGTACCGGTTTAGGGATTTTGGTGGTCAAAAAATTAATTCAGGGTAAAATTATTACATGTGTACCAGTGTGGGGTTTTTTATTGTAAAAAAATAGTTTTGGGTAAAATTGTCACATGTGTACCAATTTGAGATTTTTTGTGGTAAAAAAAATAGTTTGGGGTAAATTTGCCACATGTGTACCAGTTTGGGGTTTTTTGTAGTATTAACCCTTAAAAAAAATCTATATATATATAAAGGTATGAGTGGCGGGTGTGCGGTTCCAAGACACTAACATAAGCTAAGGAGTCCCATCTGAAAAAGCCCACAGCCAGCAAATCCCATGTTTTATTTTTAGAACCTAAAGTAGATAACAAGGGTGTTTTTTCAAAATTGAATCATGAAATGCAATCTTTCAACCTATGAAACTTAAGTTTTCAATCAAAATATCTTAGATCACTCCGTTCTTGTTCAATCAAATTCCTCAACAAAAAAAAAAAATGTGCCATGTCATGTGAAATATGAGGATAATGTCATGAAAGATTGTTTGGTGTTTTCGAGAGAATCACGTCTCTTGCCCACCCATTGAATTGATGCGGTACAATGCAATTTATTCCTCTTTTTTTTTAATAATCCAAACACATTGGCGCGGTGATTCGATTACCGGGAGGTCCATGGAACACTTTACAAGCTCCATGAACCAGTTAAGTTCGGGCTTTTGACCTATAATAATGGCCCTTATACAAAATAGTTCGCATATAACTTCTAGGATTTGATCATGTGACCTTCGGCTCTTAAGCTGGACAACTACTCCAATCAAACCGCCCTATCTGGAAGGGTTGACAAAATTGTTTATTTCATCGCTTTCCGCCCAAGAAATATTATTCACCCAATAATTTAATACTCTGTAAGTGACACGGTGGACAAATAACGCGATTCTATAAAAGGAACCAAAAGAAAAGGTACATACTTTTTCTATGCCGTGCCGGCTTGTTTCTTCTTAAGGTTTCTATTACGAAAGTTCCGTACCTACTATGAATTGTGTGATTTGAGTGATGATTACTTATCTCTAGGAAGGGAAAAACTCCTCCTCCTCCTCCTCCTCCTCATCATCATC